GGAGGAAAGGCCACCGTTAATGCTTCAATTTGCGGTGCGTGAAGAGAAATCGGGCATAAAAGACTGTACGGCAGTGTCATTGATAAAGACGGATAAAATTTGAAGAAGGAAGCTCACGAATGAAAATCAGCAAAAGTGAATGAGAAAGTACAGAACTTTGGGGAATACCAAAATTCACAAGCGCGTAACGAGACATGATCCCTTCTACACGAACGGAGAGGCTGCGGTCTTTGAGATAACTTTCTGACCGAAGGAAACTCAAGCTTGGATAGTTTAACCAGCGGACCTGTGCGACAGACACGATTGAAAGCTTTCGATATACCCCAATTACATCATATTGGTTTCTCGGTGGTTTGGCGAGTGCTGCTGACTATGTATACCACTACCACGCATTAGTTTTGATGCAGTTCACTCTCCAACTGACTGGTTGGCGACAAAACCAGCAAGCTCGGATAGCTCATCAACGACAATCTGCTTCAGCAGTTCATGCACTCTATGAGTCAGAACTAGTGCGTGAGCTAAGTGCGCCTCAGCTTGGTGATGTAGACGAGCAGTGGGATCAGATTAGGCGAGCAATGCATTCCGCAGCGAATGTTGCTTGTGGGTCTGAGCCTCAAACCCATCGGAGGCATTGGATATCTCAGGAGTCAGTAGCCCTGATGGAGCAAAAACGGCAAGTCCTGACCTGCCAGGATCAAAATAGATCTAGGTAGCATCTANTACGAAATACGGGAGGTCGGCGAACTCCAGTTGGTGAAACAGTCTGCGATAAGAGGAGGCGAGCTATTCACAATAGGGATCAACGACTCGATCGCTGGGTAGAATAAACAACAGTTCAGCTGGCCTAGTGCTAACCAGGCTGCTTCATCTCCGACTGAAGCTCCGTGGGCAGTGTCATGCGATCCTCCAATGGAAGCAGAAGTTCGGTCTTGCACTCAAGCTGTGAAGCGAGGAAAGGCAGCAGGACCTGATGAGCTCCCTTCCACTCTCTTCAAGATGGGAGGTGATAACCCCGTAACCTCTATTACTACCCTACTGTACAACATTTGGATGCAAGAGCACATTTCATCATGTTGACAAAATATTGAAAATCGGTTTTCGTAGCTCGGGTGAACTGAATTCCATTTCGCCTGTTCGCCGAGCTTGGCAATTTGTTTGCAAACGTTTCATCGCCAGCCGAGGTGACATCATCAGTGCTGGTGAAGTGGCAGTGTTCTGTCTGTAACCGTTTCATCATCTTGGGGCGAATCACTGCTCGTTCCCATTTTCAAGAAAGGGTCCCGCAACGAATGCGAAAACGACCGCGGGATAAGTTTGATCCCGATCATCACCAAAGTGCTAACTTCGGTTATACTTCGACGCCTGACGCCTCTATGAGAGACCAACATCCGTGAATAGCAAGCCGGATTCCGGCCTGGCCGTGGTTGTATTGATCAGATTTTTACGTTGCATCAGATCCTCTAGCTGCGTCACACCTACCGTCGGCCAACGATCACAGTGTTCCTTGAACTGAAAGGAGCCTTCGACTCAGTTGACCGCGAAGCTCTGATGGGCTCCCTTCTTCGAAAAGAAATGCCCCAGAAGTACGTCAACCTACTGAGGTCACTGTACTCACATATCTCCGGTCGTGTAAGGGTCTTCAGCGAACTAAGTCGACTGTTCATCACCAGCAGCGGCGTTCGTCAAGGGTGCCCTTTTTTGCGTAATACACATCCCAAACAGTGTAATCCATGGAGGTTGACTACTTTCTTTAGTGGACGACCGCGATTACCTAAACCTCTACGCCTAACATTGCTCGTCCGGTTTCCCCACCAGACTCGTGCAATGCGACGTAGACAGCGGTGTTCAAACACCTAGAGTCTAGCTTTATCCTCTTTTCTTAATGGCCAAGTCTCTGCACCGTAAAGCAGAACTCGCCGAACTGCGGCAGCATATACTCGACCCTTCACAGACAACCGAATGTCGCGACGGCGCCACAGATGTCACAAGTTGGCTAGTGCCAACCGAGCTTTCTGTATGCGCGCCGACACTTCATCTGTGATGCGTCCACCGGGTAAGATGTAGCTGCCCAGATAGCAAAACTTACCTACTTTTTCTACATCTTCCCCGGTCAGGGTGAGGCTAGGGAGTGGGCCAACCCAATCTTGTAGCGGCATTTTATACTCAGAAGGTGCAAAACGCATGCCGAACATCGTTACACTAGCACTCAAACATTCCAGTAATGCTTGCAACTTACCTGGATCTTTACAATGTCACAATATCGTCTGCGTACTCTAGATCAGAGAGCCTGTCACCTGGGAGTAAATCGCTGCCACTACCGTCGCACGAGGATAGGGCTGTTTCAAGAATTAAATCTATAACAAAGTTAAATAGAAATGGAGAGAGAGGGCAACCCTGTCGAACACCACTTTCCGTGGTGAACTCGAGTGAAAAAGTGCCGTAAGCTCGGGCTCGACTTCGTTTATTGTTACAGAGGGATTGTAATACTGAAATAAACTTCTCGGGCACACCCTTCAGGGAAAGGCAGCGCCAGAGTTTAGAGCGGTCGACTGAGTCACGAAAGCCGCTCAGGTCGAGGAAGATGGAAATGGTGGGTCTACGAAAAGAGTGTCTGTGTTCTAGGATTTCACGAAGAGTGAAGGTGTGGTCGATATAACCTCAACCAGGTCTAAAACCAGCCTGATTCTCACGTGTGCACTCTTCACGGGCGGCAGACAATCGACGGAGTGTGTTCCCGGCGAGAAGTTTAGAGGCAATGTTAATTAAACTAATTCCTCAGTCGTTTTTACAAGAGGACCTGTCGCCATGCTTGTAAGTCGGTATGTTCACCGATTCACACCATTCAGTTGGAACCTGTTCCTTTTCTCACATTGAACCCAGGAGTTTTGTTAACTCCAAAACCAAGGCCAAATCTGCATCCTTAAAAACCGATGGGGACAGCCAATCGGGACCGGAAGCTTTATACCTTTTGAGATAACTTATTTCTCGGGTAACCTCTTTTTCAGATGGAGGGCTGATGTCAACTGGCAGTATTTGCACAGTTGAATCGGATGCAGGGATGTATTGTGTTGACGAGGGCCAGCTGAACCGAGCCTTAAAATGTTCTTCCCATCGATCTGGACGGCGTTGCTGAACATGGATCAGTGTGCCGTCGGACTCCTTAATTACCTCACGCCTGCTTTCATTGGACCTGTACTCCTAATTAATCGGACAAGATTGCGACTATTACCGATAGCCGCAGCCTTCTCCGTCTCTCTATACTTTCCTACCCACCAGTTCTCGCGGTCATTCCGCAGACT